GAAGGGAGGGGGGGGGGGGGGGGGGGGGGGGTGTACTCATAGTCGTGCATGCCGTAGTCGTTTGACCATTGACCTCGCATCCCTACAAAGCCGGGGTTGTCGTTTGGGATGGGAGGGAGGGTTTTATCTGATTGTTTTTTGTTCTCCTGCCGTGTCGTTTTTTGTTGTGTCGTCGAGTTTTCTGTCGTTCGTTGTTGTGGCGCTTTTTTTCTCTGCTGTGGTCGCTCGTCTGTTTTGCTTGGCCCATTTACATGGTTTCGTGTGAACTACGATGATGCTGTGCTTGGCATACACATGTGTTTCCGTGCTAACGATGCCGATGACAGCAGTGAAGATGTACTTTTCTCGTAAACGATGATCGTATTGATGTGCTAAAGCTCATTTTGCATGCCACTACACGTTCGTCTGTCTTTTCGCTCCCCAGGTGGCTGGCGTTGAGGTCGGGGACACGCTGCAGAAGCTCGAGGGGGTCATCCTTGGATCCTACAAGGAAGGGATGGCCATGTTTAAGAAGCAGACGGGCTCCTTCTCCCTCACGATTCTCCGTCAGGACGAAATCACCATCTAAATCTAAATACGTAGATCTGGAGTGTAACCGTCCATACGATAGACATGCCTGCCTGTTTTTTCTCGGCCAGAGGGAACAAAAAAATGTCCTCGAGCCGTTGGATCGTACAGCAGGATAGTACGGCCCGATCAGACTAGGCGTATGTCGATGTTCGCGAACACCACGGGGGGCGATACGTTCGGGTGTGTGCACGGTCCTAGTCGGTCGATGTGACGGAGCCCCTTAACAAACGTGCGCCGGGTGATGAGCAAGGGCTTTATTCTGTCGCGGTTCTACTAGGCTGTGGGTGGATGTGGAGAGAGCGACCAAATTTTGACAAGATTACTTCCGCGCATGGTCGGTGGGCTTCCGTCGAGTGGGGGGAGACTGTATGTCCCAATGAAAAGCAAATTAGCGAGCTGCTGGCAAGGCCATTTGAGTTTCCGTTGAAAGCTATCTGTGGAGCAGACGTTGGTAGGCGGACAGGCGAATGCGCCGCGTACGTACCATAAGTAAATAAACGCCATGGACGGTGCGTTTCATTGAAAGAGCGGGATTCTACCGGTAGAGAGGTGCAAGGGGGTGTTGGAAAGACGGCGTTCCGGGTCGAGAGGAAGGTGGCTTGTTTTCTGTGAATCGCGTCTTGCGTGTCACAATGCCATGGGTGGCGCATCTCCAGGGGGGACATGACATGGGCGGGGTACACTGATAGGTTTTTAACTGTTACCCACGTAGGGTGTGTTGTTTCCGCGGACGTGTTCCACGAAAGGGGACCGATTTTTTTTGGAGAAGGATCGGTTTGGGAGCGCAGGAGGGGGTGGGGGTGGCACCTATAAAGTGGCATGTACCACACAACCGAGAGAGACCGCTGGATTCCCATTTCGTGCCTTGATCTGGTTCGGCTTTTAGGCTGGTCGTACACACGCGGCATCGTCTCGGATTATTCCTTTAACATGCGGCGCAGGCACATGGATGCCGGGATGTTTTTTTTTGGTGCACCGGCCCCACAGGAGGCAGCAGCAGGGTGGCAAAACGAGATTTCCCGATTTGTTTTTCGGAAGGGCCCGGCACTTGATGGTCGTACGTGTTGTTGTGATTTTGTTTGGGAGGGGGGGTCTGCTTTTGCCTTACTTCCTAGACCATTGGCTACATGTCAGTTGAGACGGCCCGGCTGGCTCGTGGTCCGTTTTCCTAGTAGAGAAAATCCCAACGTTTGAGTGCTCCCCAGCAGTGAATTTTTGTTGTGTTCTCAACGGATGTTGGCTGGTTGTTGTGTTTTGTTCTGCATCGTGCTTGTACCTTACCTGTTCTGCCCCCTGTGTCTGGAGAGACGGGCCAGGATGTTTTGTTGAACGTGAGTAGTCGGTTCTCCCAATGCTGTTGCTCTTTGGGCGCTGCTGCTGTGCCAAGAACCGATTGAGGATGCTCTTTTTCTTTGGCCAGGATGATGGAGATGGTGGGTGCGGGAGTCTTCAGGCAACAATAAAGAAAAAATCATGTAACATACTACTAACCCACCGCGTGCACACCTCTGAGGATCGGGTACAAGTGCCACACGAGCGTTTCAGGAAAAGAAAAATACCCGTAAATGTATCTCGCGGGCGAGAGGATCGCCGTGGGAGTGCACCACCGAAACGGGAAAGACCCGGACTCGTTTACGGGGATCTTTTGCGGGTTATTGCGGCGACGGCCGTAAGTGTGCACATCCTTCTACACCTTGCCCGTTCTTACACGCAAGGTGCTGATTTACTTGTAGCTCTTTATCACAACCAACCATCGGTCACAGCTGAGACCTGCCTACTCCATGGCCTTGCCCATTCACAGCACGGGTTACTACGTCGAAGAGTTCCTCTTCGGCGACAAGAAAAAAACCGGGAAACCGCAAGACAAGCGCGCTCGATACAGAGCTTTGTGGAAGAAGGGCCTGGAGAAATGTAGAGGAAAGGGCCGCACCAACTGCACCATCAGTGTCTCAGCCTAATGTCATTGGGATGGACAAATAAGGGGTGACGTTATGTACATCTCTAGTCACATGCTCCGTCCCACGAGCAACAGTGTCGATGCCATGGAGAATCGTCTCAACTGCTAATGAAAATGAACGAGAGAATCGGCGGGCGTTCCCCCAGACAACACAGCAATATGCATATGTAGCACTGTTGAGTTTCTAAACGCTTCGTAACCAACAACGCCAGTAAGAAGGACTACGCCATCGCTGAGTTCGATGATGGATGGTGACATCGCAGTACGGCTCACAGGAGACGGCGTTAGCCGTGCACAATACGCCCGCATGCATCTACCGAATTTTCCAAGCACGAAACACTACGCACACGTTCACCCATCGCCAATGAATTTCCTGGACTCGTGTCTATGGACGAGACGTGACTTGTTTCTGTAGCCGCAAAATATACACACACGCTTGTAACGCCTGGGTACCTACAAAAGTCGCCATCAGAAAGCGTGGCGCCTCGTTGTTACCTTTCAAAATTTTCTCAACATTGCCTTGCTCGCACATCGAGCACCGAGGCAAGCACGGAGAGGAAGCTTCACTCGTGTGCGCCCGAAAAGCGTTGCTTCGCACAACACAACCCCAGCTGTGGTGCTGGCAGCAGTCACACACAGACAGCTGCTCCGCTCAAAAACAACCCACAACAGCACTCATGCAGCAACACCCACACCGCGGGGCACACACGACGAATTACAAAAAGAACGAATGCAAACGCTTTCGTCGCCCAGAGAAACGGCGGCCATCTGCAGCCGTTCACCGTAAAAACGAGCAAAAAAACAATCAGGGCTGCCATACAATACATGTTCAAAAAATTCCAAGGTCGTCGGGTGTAAACCTTAAACGTGTCGGGCTAGCACGACTGACTCTCGCTCTAGGCCCATCCCCTTTGTCGACAAGCGAGCAGGACACGGCAGCAAGCGCTACCACAAAGCGAAACTCGTGTGCACTGGTACCGCATCTCCGAAGTCGCCCTCTCGGGCCGGGGTCCCGACATCTACAAACGTTTTTCGCGCATCTATGTACAAATTGAAACGTTGCGCAGGATAGACCCCATTTCACAGTGGTGCATCAGATAATGAAACGATGAATAATTATCCGATTGGTGCACATCGCCGATTGGAAAAGCTTCTCGACGACACACGCTCCTTCCCCACAACGCGCATAAAACCAGACGTTCCACGGGCATACCCAAGTGGAAACAAATTAGGAACCCCCGTCCCCTTGCAGACAGCGTCCCCAACATCCCACACGTACGAACCCAGCATCGGTTCCCGCCCTCGCCCACCCACGCACACCCTCCCTTAAAAACACGGACAATAGTCATTCTTTAGTCGGCTACGTTTCGCAAGATCTGTCGCGTCTGCGCCATCGCCGCCTGGGTCGTTGTTTAGCACCGGGGTAGCGCGGGACAGCCGGCAGGGGGGTTCGGGGTAGAGTGGGGTGCGGTGGGCTTGGGGGTCGCCAATAAAACGGGAGGTGTACAACAAGTGTTTTCTATTCCTGCGAGCCACGCTAGACGATCAGAATTAGGGTGTTAGACCGACTTCACCAACATAGCCCACTCTACGGCAAGCGCGCCTGTATCTTCGATGGATGTTACTGGCCACCTTCCCCGTTTGTGGATTTTGTCGCGTGGGAAGCGCCTTTTCGATGGCCAATTAGATGGTATGGAATGAAAAATTTCGAAAAAACGCGTAACGGGGCGACAACAGGTGCACATCACCTCGCCATACAACAACGCCGCCCTCGTGGGGCAGCCACGAACGAGGAAAATCTTCCTGGTGTTCTTGTTTCTTATTTTCTTATTCTGATCAGCGCTTCTTGCCAAAGACGACCTCCATATGACACTCGGTCAGCTGTTACAAAATAACGGCCAAAGCCGAGCACGCACACCCACTCGACAACCACCAGCGGCGCGCGCGAGAGGAAGAGACCCCCGGCCGCAGCCGCGGGGCCACCGACAAACTGACCTGTTCGACCGTCTTGCTCAGGTTCGCGATCTCGTTGTCCAGCCTGGTCAGATCCTCCCGGGTCACCGCGCGAGGCCCAAGCGAAGACCCCCCCCCAAACCTCACGGAACCCCCCCCACCATTCTTGCCGCCGCCAACCTCGCTGTTGGTGGCTTTGGGCCGTGGCGGGGGTCCGCCCACCCGTGCAGCACCGGCACCGATCCCGCGTTCTGCCGGTGTTCTGCCGATAGCGGTAATGGGGGGCCGGCTTGACAGCCACGCGGTGTCCCTCCGGCGTCCCGAAAACGCGGCGGCGGCCGTCGGTGCCGCCGTCGCCGCCGCCGCCGCCGCCGCCGCCGCAGATCTTCTTCCACCGCCACCGCCACCGCCACCGCCACCGAGAAGCGAGCTAGTACCGTAGCCCAGCGCCGTGTCCCGCCATCTGTACCCGACCCCCGGTAGCTCCGCACCGGCGGCACGCGAATCGCCAACACCGGCGACATCATCGCCCCCGCCGCCGTCGCCCGCCCCTCTCCTCCCGGTGCCATTCATGACGGCGTCGTCCACGATTCTCTGGATGTCCCTTCGAGTGAGTAGCTCGCGGCCGCCAACCCCGGCGCCCTCGGCGTGCCGCGCGGAGCGGGGTGGCTCTCTTTCGGCGCCTCCGCGGACGGCGGGGGCCGCCGGAGACCCCGGAAAACCGTCCCCTGTGTCGGGTGCGGCGGTGTGCTGCTGGGGCTGATGCCGCTGGCCGTGGCGCCGCTCGACGCCGGCGCCCTCGCCACCTTCCCACCACGCGCCGTCACCATCGGGGCTGCACGCGGAGGCCAGCGCGCTGGGCTCCAACCGTGGCGCATCCCGTCCGTGGTTGTAGAGCGCTTCGCTCCCCGTTGCCGGATAGACAGCCGGGGCTTGAGGGGTAGGCGGGGTCGCCGCCACCGGTGCTTGGGGGGTAGCGGCAAATGCTGCTGGTGGCGGCGGCGGCGGCGGCGGTGGCGGTTGGGGTGCAGGGGGATACGCGGGACTTGACGACGCCTGACGTTGGTGGAGGATGCCGAGCGCTGCGCTGAGCGTCTGCGTGGCAGCCGTGCTGTTCTGTCTTCGCTGTGGGATCCGATTGCCCGGGGGGCAAGGAGTGAGCAAGGGGAAAATGTGTCTAGCTCGGTGTTGATCGTGCAGCAGAGCACGCTGGTGGTTGTCGCTGTTCCCGTTCAGCCATTCCACTACCCCTCACGAGTTTGTGATGAAGGTTTGACTAGGCAAATTATTGTGTGTCGCGCCTGGAAATGCCAAAATAAAGCACACCCTGGTTACGACGGTCGTGCAAGTATTCAACGTACCCTCAACGCGTCGCGCTCTCGCTTTGTCTCCTTGAGCATGGCTTCCAGCCTACGACGATGGCCGTCCGCGGCGGCGACCTTCGAGGACAAGCCTTCGACTTCCAGTTCCAGTTGCCGACACCGCAGCTCCTCCTGATGAAAAAAATACAAGTGCACCCGCAGCAGTACATGGTACGGTTATAACCGTGTACGTCTGCACGCGTCGGCGTGAAGGCTATGTAGAGTGGCACCACGCCGAACGACCCGGGCTATGCAGTGGCATCAGTCGAGCATGCAAACATACGAGCACAACAGCTAGTAACGAGTGCAGCAGCAGCACCCCACACGACTGTACGCCGCCCGTCCATCCCTGCAAAGTTTCGCTTTGTTGTGTGCTTCTGTCGCCTGTACTTTACGGACTTCGTATCGTTTCCAACGCCTCCATCTACCCGCAATGATACTGCATACGCGAACGTGTCCTGCCAAAACAGCCGTTGTGTGGCGACCTGGAAACCCAAACTCTACACAACTACCAGCGGTTGCTGTTGCCGCCACACGTGCCATTCCATTCATTTTTAACCAGTCTCTCCATCACAGTGTCCCCAGTAGAACCCCTTTTACACGGCCCTGACCACAATGATGCACATGGGAATATCCGTGCGGATGCAGTTCCCTCCATCGTAGCGCTCCAAGTTCACCCGCGGCGCTGCGAATGCGTAACACGTGGTGGAACCGCCGTGAGACGCATCCCAGCTAAACACTTCCAGGTACATCAAGAGACAAGAGCCTCAAGCAAAAAGTCTCCGTGCGTGTAGCGCACCACGCCGCCGGGTCCTCCCCCCCCAGCGACAAAAGCGATCGATTTCTCGCACCCAAGACCAAAAGGAACGGATGAAAGCTCACGCGTTTCACCTGCTCAACCCTATCGCCCGCCGATCTCGCCGCCTCCTTCTCTCCGTGCAGCCTTTCCCTCGTCGCCTTGAGCTGTGCGGTAAGCTTGGTTACCGCCAGGCGGTACGCCCACTCCGTTGAAAACCGCGCCGTCGTTCTCCCTCCCCCCCCCTCCTGGGCCTGGAAGTCCTCTTGGCTACCGCTGCTTCCGCCGCCGCTGCCGTCGCCGTCGGAAGAAAAATACCCGCCACTGCCACCGCCACCGCCGCCGCCACCGCCGCCGCCATCGATCGCCGCGGGCAAGCTTCTCCCTCGCCCTGTACGTAGATCAGTAGCCTCCTCGTCGTCTAACCGATCCGATACACCAGACGGTATCGGCGTCAGCCCTTTCACCGTGACCCGCGGGCCGGCGGCGGCGGCGGCGACGTGCGGCGACCGCTTCGGCGATCCCCTACGATGGGGAGGCGAAGGGTCAGCCGGGGGCGAACAAGCGGCAGAGGGCGAGCGTTGTCTCCGCCGCCGCGCGGGGGAGAGCTGCGCGTCCGACTCCAGGGTCTCGAGGCACCCGAAGATCTGCTCGATGAGCTGGAAGGCGGTGAAGGACGGGGCCGAGTGGAGGCCGCGCTGGACGTGCCGCCGGAGAGACTCGAGGAGCGCTCTCTGAGACTGTAGATGAGCCGGAATGGTTGGCGCAGGGGACGGGGTCGGTGCTCATGCCTTTGTAGGACAACAAGATGTAGAAACATATGGAATAGTTTATCGTTGATGGAAGGTGCCTGCCTCCCGGAAAACGGGGGGGGGGAGTGGAGCGACATTCTATGCGAAGCTCTCAGGTAGATGTTCCTAACGACGACTATTGCAGGACGACCAGGTTACCCCTCCGTCGACAAATAAACAGGTGGAAACACACCCGCAGAAGGCAATGGAGTTGGGGGCGCCTTAGACCATGGACCACGCGGCCTCGAGATATCGGAGCACTGTTCTCACAGGACCCATCACCAGGTCGGGGTCGGGGATCTTCAATCGAGCGACAACGCTATGCCTGTCTCACCCGTGTTGTTGCTCTCCAGCGCTTGCATCTTGCCCTCTGCTCATGATCGAGGTCTTCCAGGGAAGCCCTAAGGGTCGAGAGGGAGCTGCGCGCCTTGGCTTCGTTTTGCCTGGTCCGAAGCCTGGCCCCGTCTAGATCGCGTCGGAGCCGTCGGTTGTCACTCTCGAGCTCGCGTGCGCGGGTCTGCCTCATGCGGAAATGCCGAGGCGTCGCAAGGGTTGTGTCGGGTTGTGTCGGGTAGTTGTCACAATATTGCAATGGTATGAAATATTTTGTTCGTTCTTCCTGTTTTATGGTGAGGGTGTTGACGGAGTTGTCGTCGTTGTTGCTGAGGGCGGCCGTGTTGGGGGGATTTTTCTCGTTTCGCTTTTTTTTTTTTTGTAGTTGCTGAGGGTGGCGGTGCTCGTGGGGGTTGTAGTTGTTGTTGATGATGTGTTGGTGTCTCGAACAACAAACTATGGTCGAAAAAACTGTTCTCGATACATACCTTACTCCTACGACGCAGAAATTCCGGATCTCTTCCCATCTGTACTAGCCAAGTGAGAACACCCCCCCACGAGAAACGTTGGGCTTAGTAGGCAGCGCCTATATAGCTGCAGCACTACTGTACCGCCACCTCACCTCGCTCTTGGCCAGCTCCGTCTCGCAGCGGTTCGCTCTTTCCTCTCCCTTGCGAGCGACTTTCAGGGAGTCGCGTAGGCGTCCCGTCTCCTCCAGCAACCTGTGCCAAGGGTAATGTCCGCTGTGAGCAGCTTTTGACGCTTGGGCGGCTAAGCTGGCGCAGAGCAAGCGGTACTTGCTGCAGATTTCGAATCAGTTCTCGACAAGGATTAGCAGATAAATATACTGCAGTCGCCCACGCTGCAATGTGAAAAGCGACGAGGTTTTCATAGCATAACTCGGGGTACGTTGAGCTATTTTACATGTGTAGCTCCTGCTTGCAACATTTTGCAAGGGGATGTTCTGCTGTATCGTAGATATGAAGTTTGAGGGCCGATTTTTGCTGCTGCCTATGTACCGAACAGCATGAACCCTCGCATCGGTGGGTCAAATTGCGAAGTACCCCATGCATATGATATGTGTTCATGGCTCATGAGAGCAAGACACCCAAGGGCCCCCACCTGCCGCAGACCAACTGCTGTAGTTCAAACAATCAGAGAGCTCTTCGTACTCTGAGCGTTGTTACAGGGTGAGCAAAGAGGGCCAACCGTTCGGAAGTCCAGCTGGCGCACCGCTCCATCTCCCAGTAGGAAAATGCAACCGGTTTCCGACCGCCCCGAACCAGCTCCTTGCGCTGACTACATAGGCAGCCTTGCAGAGCACGTATTATAGTTGTGTGTACACAGTCACAACGGTTGCGAGTTACTGCCACCGACAGCGATCTCCCTTTGAGTGGGGAGTGCACGGGCCAAACACACCGGCAGGTGCCGAGACCGCAATCTCACCGAGAAGCTTTCGCCTGAGCCGCGGCCGCTCGAGCTCTTGAAGCACGCAGGGCTGTAGCCAGAGCAGGCAAGGCCAGCTTGCTCGGAGACACATCGCCCCCGGAGGGACGACTACCAATACTATGTTGTCCGGGTGAACGCGGGTTCCAACACTCGCTGCTCGTGTCGCTGCTATCGGAGGAGTCATCCACCGAGCTGAACATCCTCGTACCCGCTGACCAGGGTGGTCCCGGCATCGTGACCGCACAGATCGACAGAGTACCACACTCCACAACAGACGTACGCCAAGGGCCAAGGGCACACACACCTAACACCTAACGGCTCCGCGATGCGGCGCAATTAAGGCTGCTGGACAGCCGGAGCGAGTTCGAAGAGCGGGGTTCGCCCGCCGGTTCGGGTGAAACGCCAACACCTGTATTCGAGTTTCATGATTTCTAACGCGATCGCATGATGTACCCTCGTACAGCAGTAGAACCAAGAAGTTGTTTCCGGACGTTGATTGGTGTCCTTGGACAGTCTTCCGCGGTTTGCTTTGGGCGGAAAACGCACCTCCTTCGGGGTGTATTACCTTGCTGCGAGAGTTCAGCACGAGCTTCTAAAAAAGTCGGCATGGCTGGGGAGAGGTCGCGTCGCGGCAGAAAGCTGGAGGAGGGCTCCTTGGCGATCGACAAGCGGCACTATGGCCGATCAAGGAATACGCGAGTCAGGCCGACGGCACCAGCAGGTAGGATACATATTTTGTGCACTGCACACATGTCGAACCCCGGTCAAGCGGCAAACGCGTAAGACATGTAGAGGATTTCTGACGTACAACTTGCAAACCACGGCAGCAGGCCCGCTATCATCTAGACTGCCCGTCGACCCGAAGCTACCGTCGTAGCTCTCCGACTCTGTGCATTATGGTATGTCGGGTTCGGGGTCACCATACTGTAGATTCTTGGGCTGCAGCATAAGCACCACGCACTATCCATCCAATAAAAGCGCCAGAAAGATCGTACAATGTATTTATACCGCTCTCGAACAGTCACAACAAAATTTGGGATGTGTAAATAGTAGTACAGTGTAGGATGACACTACAGTCTGTCACTGTCTCAGTTACCATGTTGTCAAAGAAATACAAACACACTTAGGAATCTGCGATCTCGGTGGTGGAAAGGGAAATCTACGAGAACATCTGTGAAGCAACCAGTCTAAGAGCCTTTTACAACCCGATGTTGTGACGCAGCGATGATTATGTAGCAAGGGCCTCGAGGCACATGCAACCACGCCCCACGTAACTAAACGTGCTCGTTTTCATGCACACCGCCCCCTGTTGTAGATGAGTCTCCACCATCTGTCCAAGCTTCGGCTACAACGGCCAAGATTGGACTTCCGCATCAGCCTCCCTCTCTTGTCACCATGTCAGCTTCTTCAATGTCTCAGCGAACGTCGGCATCTCCATCGGGTTCTTCTCCTGCGTCTTCTTCTTCTACTTCTTCGTCCTCCTGTACCTCTCCCTCCCCTCCCCCCCCCACCCCCCACGCCAACCTTCAATTATATTCCCCAAATCCTTCTTCCCTCCCTCCTGCTCAGCATTCCGGTCTAACGACAGAACCCTCCGAAAAGGGATCCGCAACGAGGCCCGACAACATCCGTCGTGGTCGTCGTGGTCATCATTCTCGTCGTGACCACGGTCGCCGCAAAACCAGCTCGACACATCGAACCGGCCGAGATAGCGGCCGGCGCCGTAAAGAAAGTTCTTCTCGGCATCCCAGACGCCGTGGAACGCATTCTTCTCGGCATCGTGACCGCAATAGCTCGTCCTCCGCGGCAGCACGATACAAATTCCCCGGGGAGACACCGTCGACGTCGATGGGGGACAGTGGCAGCAGCAACACTAGCAGCAGCCAAGAAGACGCTAGCGATACGAGCGCTACGGGAACTACCGCAACGTCGTCCAGAGAGGGGCCAAGCCAAGAAAGACACGAACGTCTCGTCAAGCGGTCTTCGTTTCCGAAGAAGCGGCGGTCAACAAACAGAGGAGGAGGCTCCGACGGCTATGACCTCCACTGGAGCAATGGGGATGAGCATGCCCGTCGCAGCCATCACCGCAAAGACCACCGCAGCATACGCGTACACTCTAGGGATGTAGGGGACAGCAGAGAAAGGTGAAGAAAGCGAAGGGTTCGTGCGTAGCGCCAACACCTACGGTAGTACATCTTGATTCTTCCGAGCCTGGCGCAGCCGTTGAGAAAAGCACGCGTGGAACCTCCACCGGTGACTTTAGTGAGATGATGAAATTCTGGTCCCTAGAATTCAAGGAGAGAAAGGAACACCTTGGAGAGCAGATGTTAAAACCAAAACAGTGAACATTTTTGGTGCGGCCGGATGCCATCAGAAACCTATCATCGGTACATGCCGACAGGCGTGCCCATCGCTCCTCAAGAAGTAGAGTTGGGTCAAGTTTCAAAGTCGAGAAGGAGAGAAGCGGTCCACAGTCTCATTTTCGCTCAAAAAAACATGCAGCACGTGTTCACGCAGAGTACAAAAGAAACTCAGCCCGAGAGGTCTCATCGGCCAACGAAATCATCGGAAGCAGGCTCCAAGACAAGGACCCGGGTGGCCGAGAGAGGGGTCACCACAGAGACAACCGCCACCGCCATCGCTCTCGTGAAAGCGGCGAGGATCGAAAGGATCGAAACGACCAACCCCGACGAAAAAGCGAACGAAAATCCAAGCATGCCCTGGAGGATCGTCGAAGAACCCACCACAGTCGCTCTCGGGTCGAAAACACCAACGAGAGGAGGATCACGGTTGGCAGGGCGGGCAAAGACCGGGCGGGGGGCCCAGCAATCGTGAAGCTTGCCAAGGTACGTCCGTACAATATTGATCCTCCTGACTATGTACCAGGCGGTAGTTGTACACGGCATACTTCGATACGGTCGAGAGCTAGATTCCCAGCATACCTATTGTTTTGCTGCCTCAGATGGACAGGATACTCAGCAAGAAATTGAGGTCCGATGAGCAGCGCTGATGAAGGGCAGCCCCGAGGAGATCTCTGGGTATATGGCAGCAAGAAACTGGGAATCACACCCCGGCGACTACTAGAAGTATATTGTTTTAGTGCTGACTTCAACGTAGGCTAGCTATCACGCGAGCGCTTGAACGTGGTGAAGGAGAGTGGTGACGAATAGCGAATGTTTGGCATTATCCTGCGTCTATTTTCCTGAAAAGGTTTTGCTGACGATGTGGTGGCCACTGTTGGTCTATAACCCCTCAGGTAGAGACGGTAATACGGCGACGTAACAAAGTTCCAAGTAAACATCGACGACTGTCTGTATTCAATTTACGCTGGTCGCGATCCCGCATATCTCCCTTCGTTTCGCTGCGAGGGAGGATCGCGCCGTCGATGCAACTTTTCGATCTGACCACAAGTACGTCATCACTCCGTGTCAGTATTTTTGTACGATACCCTCCCTGTGCATGCCGGCGATCAGCAGGAAGCAGACATGGAAGGACCGAACAAGGTCTTGACAGGCGCTCGCGGGGAAGAAACCGTACATGACACCAATGAGTTAAGGAGGAGAGAAGCGCTCCGCGAACGAACGTGGGTAAAACATCTATGTTGGCGCAAGCAATACAAGCCGAGCCAAATTCTATGTCGCACCTACGTGGAGGCAAGCAAACATTGCCACGAAGTCTAGGCAACGCTTTGTAGAAAGTGCCGCCAATTACAAGCATTTTTTGCGGGTTTCGATTTCCTGTGAAACGGCTGGCGTTATTAGTTTCGCCGTAATCAATAATATACGCCCCAAGGGATGTTGTCCCCCTACCCTCGTATTACCAGACAAAGGATTAGGGCTGCCATGAGTATTCAACACCCTGTCGGTAATGCGCTCGGCTCATGATTATGCACAGATCTCTAAATTCAATTTTTTCCCCGTGTATTGTTTCTGGTGCCAGCGTTGTCATATTGTTTCCCCCAGTTTGTGTGGTCTGGCAGTAGGTACATTCCTACCCACTCATGTCTACATTTTCGTGCTTGGTGGCTTGTGCTATTTAAACTGCTTTCAAACGTCGGTCGCGCCAACCGTAGCCAAGGCGGTTGTCCATTCATGTCACATTCTGCACCGTGAACCTGCACACGTCGTACACTTATAATAGCATGAGGGCCATCGTGACGGTACAACGCATTGCCCGAGGAATCGCGGCCCGAAACCGCGTGGCGGGAAGACGAATTGCTGTCGAAATGTTGAGGACCGCCTGCCTTGGAGTGGCGATGGAAATCATCGAGGCGTACATCCGCGAGGTGAGTGTGCAAGCTGCAGATGCCGCGAGCGCGGTAACGTTTTGGGACGTGGACGTTCTGGGAGTTTTCCTGCAATCCGGGGAGCTCCTACCGATGGAATTGCTTTCGGCCTTGTCCGTGAGACAACTTTTTAACGGAATGGTATCGAGACACCAAGTCTCCAACGCGTTTTCGTCATTGGCCTTAAGGTTTTCGGGGTGCACGGTTGTCAATATTTGCTTCTCGTGGACGACGTGTGGTGCTGTTTTGGATGCAGGAAATGATGGGCACGCTGATTAAAATACCTGGCACTCAAGCGTCATCCTCCGTTGTCTTTCCCCCTTCTCATGTCGATCGTTCGGCGTAACGAACGCCGCAATGCCTGCGGCTATCCCACTCAGAATGCCACTGGAACCGTTCCGTCGGTAACGAAAAATGTAAACGTGTGCTAGGTTAGCAACCGCAGTTCCCTCCTGTTAACCGTGGAATGGTGGGTTCAATCATCAACACTTGCCGCTGCGACGACTCCAAGAACTCTGCGATCCCCCCCGCCGTGAAATCCTTCGGTTTGCCAGGATGTTGCTCCGGATGTCATCTCCGACGCACTCGGTGTGGGTTTCGAGGGTGTCCATTCAGTGGTGTCGCAGAGGGCCGAAGCAGCTTCTGCCGCGCATGCTATCATGGAAGAGGTAAACTCACGGAATATTTTTTCCGGTATCACAACTACGAGGGACTACGTTATCGGAATTCATCCATTGGTCACCCAAGCCAAACAACACCGTGGAGCATTTTTTATCGAACAGCTAGGATTCAGGATTAGACTACCACACCCTGTAGGCGGGAAACGAGTGCATCGATCGACGCGCCTCAGGTGAACGCTTTTTGACCTCCGCTGTCCACTGCTACTATCACATAATTGTTGCCTTCAGGTTATAACCTAGTCTGGGGTTTATCCACTATCTGGTCACAAGACTCAGGTCAAAGAAACGAAAATTCGTGCTGACGATGTCCCAGTCAACAGAGACAGAGAAAACAATCCAAAACGGTTGGATATTGCTCTATTTATCGCTCTTGTTGACGAAACAATGGTATTACCTCCATCTTCATAAGCCAAGTGCTTTCAACAATGATGCTAGTCCTGATTCTTGGACGTACCACATCGGGAAAATGGGCGAGCGAGGAAACCACGAGCCATACGCTTTGTGTGGAGAGGGTAAAATGCAGTAGACGTAGAGTCAGGGCGTGGAGACGTACCGCCGAAGTGTAGACCCCTCCAGAAACGGCTTTCACGCTGAGACGAAAACCTGTCTCGAAGAATAAGCCTATGTCCTGCCTATCGCTTTCCCTCTCCAGACGGCCGCGTCGCTGATTCGTGGGCTCGTGTCGATGACGCTGGCAGAGGAAGCCGACAGGTGGGATGATGTTGGAGTTCAGACCCGATTCAGGTTCTTGATTACTTTGCGCCATACCTCCCCCCCCTATCTGCGCAGATCCTATTCGGTCCTATCTCTCTAGAACCTAGGAGCCGCGGTGGAGTTCGCCAAGTGTTCGTGGGTACTCGTTGTTGATTCGTGGTTGCATCGTCCTTCTAAAGGGAAAAATGAATAATCCCGCGTCGCGTCCCGATCTGACCCCTTTCTCGGACGCCTTTTCTTTTATGGAATGTCCGCGCCTCGTCTTGGTGGCATGAGCAGCCACCTAGATGTTGTCTACGTCAGAGATCGAAGGAATCCGTTGCTCGCGACGGTGGATGATTTGGTCTCCGAGGCGCTCAGGGTGTGGATGAGAGAGGTGCGAACTACTTTACACGAGGGAATAGTGACTCTCGTCCATTCCTGTGCTATTCCTGCGTCGCTTGGTCTGTTGGTCCACCGGGATACCCCGAAGGCGGCAAACGAAGAAGGTGTCTAGTATGTCTTCCATATTGGCGCCTGAAAAATCAACATTGAACTCTTACCGACTGTAATTTCGGCCGGCTTTCCAATCCTCAATACGGCGAAGAAAACGGACACAAACACTCGCCCCAAGGCAATCCGCGAGGTCGGGATCAGTGATTTCCGCCACGATCGGAACTGCCCCTATGACAGAAGGAAGTGCTTTCAAAGGGGACCTTAACGTGCATTCAGAAGCACGGAATGGTTGACGACTGAGCATGCCACAGAAGTCGGCGACGCCTGCATGCAACAGATTTGAAGCGATGAGACCGATAGCCTCTCATGCTCATGATCGCAGAATGATGGAAGCATCGTAACCAAAAATATGTATATAACTGAAGAGCAAGCACAACATCATACGTTGGATTCGGTGCTGCTACAATCAAGCGTGTGAACCATCAAACACACACATATACTTTAGTGCGACACAATTGCTGCCATGTCCGATTTTGCCCAACGCGCGCGCATCCCAGGCAGTGACAGAGGTAGTGAAAGAGTGCGCCGAAGAGTTTTTGTTCGGGAAGCGAATCTCGGTGCTTGTAGAAACGGTCCTCGAGGAAGGAGTAGTGGAGGCGGTGTGGCCAATCGCTTCTGAGGTCTACTACAACGCCGCTGTGAGTCGATGGGTGGGCATATCATAGTTCTACGCGCGCATGTTGGACCTTGTGACACTTTGTGTTCAGCGAGAACGTCACAGCAAACAAAATATATATATTGTCCTGGTCGTGGAGTGCGCCGTGGAGCGGTCATTGTTTTGGTCAAGGACTTCTTGCGAAACGCCCTAGGAACAGCTTCGATGTGGGTCGGAGCCGTCAAGACATATGGCGTGGTTTCTGTCGTAGCCGTCGTTGTCGTCGTTGTTATTGTCTTTATGGTGTTTGTATTGTCGCTCTTCTTGCCCTGTTCTTGTAGAAATGCTGCGTGTGCTAGCGAACAAGTTGTCGCAAGACCGAAGGTCCTGGATGACACCCCCCTTTATTGAACGATGTTTTAGTGCGGGGAGATCGAATTAAATTGTTACATAGAGGAAGGCCCTCACCTCGGCTTGAAACAAGCCAGTCGTCGGTGTTCCTATGTTTGATGATCGTCGGCTATGACAGATGCACTACAGCTGAAGGATTTTGCGGGGACGATGGAGGGCCTTGCGGCTCGCTTCTTGTTTACCACAGATGGCAAGCTAAGACCACCTGGTTGTCATATCACCCTCCTCCCAAACTAGGTCCATATGCTGCTTGAACACGCATACCGCCTTGCAAAATGCCCTAACCCAAACCCTGTTACAATACCTCCTGATGTCTCGCAGGCACTGGCTTCGTTTTTAGAGATCGAAGAAGAACTTTGCAGCAATGAAGCAAGGTCGGTGGTTTCTGAAACCATGGCACCCTTCGAGGACCAGCTTATAGAATTACAGAGGGAAAAGGATTTTGCCGCTATTCAGGTGCGAAGAAAGACCCAAGCCTACAGTAGCGAACGCACCAAGTCACGTTGCAATTTTTGCGCTCCGGTATCAGCTTCTCGGGAAGTCCCGCAAGTCCGGTACGTCTGGATGGTTAAATAGTGTTTGATTTTGGTCGGTGCGACCGGAACACCCATCGTCATGGCCGCTGTACACGTGTCGAGCAGGAATGCGGTCAATCAAGTCCCGCCTACCCACGAAACAACTCCTGTCTTGCTCCACATACGCACGGCAACTACGAAACATACGAAAGCGCTCCTTCGTCGGGCCTCAGACATAAAAGCTATTTTATCCTTCGCAGGCCACGGCGTACGGCGTGATAGTCAAAGGGCTTCAGCTCCAGCACGCGGCCAGGACGGTGGGGCAGAGGGGCAAGCTGGTTGCCATGAGCGACATCCATGGGAAGACCCTCAACCTCTTATTGGCTGGAAGGTACTACTGTACTGTACATGACGATCCTCCATATGTTAATGTCTTACGTATACTTCGTTTTGTTTACTGGAGTTCGTTCGACCAACTTGCCTTCGTGCTTTTCCCGGCCTTCTTCATGTGTTGGCCTTGAGTATGTGCGGTCTATTGCTTGTGCTTGCTCTTGTATGCACAGCAACAAAAAGAGTTCGTTTCTACCGTTAGAAAACCGTCCGGATACTTCGTGATGGGTTCATAGTGCTATATCTAGGACCTGCCTGTATTTCTACGTACAGTAGTACCCTAACACACACTCTTCTGCGTTCGTCTTGCAGATTCTTATCTATCCTGAGGGCCGCCGAGACCAATCGTCTCCAAGTCTCCACCAGCCCCTTGCTCTTCATGCTGTTTCGAAGGCTGGTTGTCAGGTATCAATCGATGGTTGTCCGCTTCAATGTTAATGTTGCCTGGTCAACAAATGCTCTCTAAGCTCTGAAAGGGGTACAAAAGCGTGATTGATGTACTCTGCCGCCTCCCTCCGAAGCGTCTGCATATTGTTCTCAGGCGATCTCCCCTCTTCGTACTGAAATAGGGCAATTGAAAGCCCTTGGTTTGTGTTCAATGGCGACGACGTTCAGTACCTCGCCGGGCGATGCCTACGATATCTGTCTGTGACATCTTGAAAGGAGTCAAGACATACGGTAGACCTCTCTCTGTCGCTCTCAGATGTTTTTTGTGGCAACGCTCCGAATATGCCGCCACCCCTTGGGGTGAATCCTCATTATGAGAGAGCGACAACAAACAAGGGGCGGGTGGGAAGGCCTGGTGGGGGTCTACTGTATAATAGCGGTCGGTCAGGGCGGCAGACCCCCGCCCTGCGCCCAACGTTGACGTAGACTCGATGGAAACAGGAGTGGACACTTGAAAACAATGGTCACGATTGAAGATACACATTTTCCTGAGTTGAGCAGAACAACTTGGTATGCGTACCTCATGTGTTGAAATATTTTGAGGTGTAAAGCCTGCGTACATAGATAGGTTGAAATCTTGATGCTCGCTTTGCACCCAAGATCATGTCCGACCTCGTAAACTCTGGGACAAATAAAAATATGCTACGTAGATATCCGTCGGGTTGGTGCTTGAAGGTTTCAGAGCAAGGACGTGAAACCAAGTTGGTTTGCTTGAACTGCCGAAGCACGACACCTCCTCCAACCCGTCCGTTCACGCTTGTCGACTCCTACCGATACCCCCGTGATTAACAAATCGCCCTGCAGGGCTGGACGGAGCGTTCTTTTGGATGAACTTTCACGAGAGCTTGACCGAGACGAAACGGCACTACACGCGCTTGAACTGGAGCGAATCGACGATGTCGACCGACAGCGGAGAGCTGGTCGTGATCGCACGGCATAGGCTGACGTCTCATCTTCTGGTTCTCCCGAACGCACTTTGTCGAAAATAACCGAGCCTCGCTGGCGGCACATTAGTCAAGAAAATACTCACGTGATTGCTGTTGGTTTGAGTTTTGGACGGTACCAGCAAACATACGGTTGGGTGCACTCTCGCACACTCTGGAAACTTCCATATGTTGTGACCGCCCGTGTCCAGCGTCGCTGTCCCACACCGCTCTACAATTTAGTTGTCTCTATCGACAGCCCATTGCAACAAAAAGGCGCTGAAAAGTTCCCCCCTTCAATACTCCAAGTGGAAGCGGCGACCGGTTAGAACGTCCAATGTCAAGGTATAGCGGTACCTACCCCCAAGAGTTGGGGGATCCATCAGACGCGCACCGGGGTGCGCAAGGGTGCCCAAGGAAGGCACTAACGAGGAAATGATTCCTCACAGGTGTCGTCGAGTAGGTCTGGGGATGGAACCCGATAAACGCCCACAGGAATGCGAGCGAGTTCGCACATGCTAGCCCGGGCGACTTCGGGAATCGCATGGGGTTGCAATAACAGAGAACACGACATTTTGCAGAGTGCTGTGTGTCGTGATTTCCATATTTTTAGTTTCCGTGTACCTCGACTGATGGTGTATGGCATCTCGATGTAGCACACGTCGACTAGTGGATGCTCTCATGAAAAATCGTAAAACCCGTATCCACACAGATAGCCAAGATCCACTAAGCAACTCGTTTGCGGCAACATCGGTGTAGGACCGTCTATGCCTCAAAGAAAGAGAAACGTTCAATAGGGAGCACGTCAAACAACAAATACTCTGGTACGAACCAAGAGCAGCTGCAACATGCACATTTTGTTTCCAAGAAGTGACGGGTTAGGAGATTGTGCACAGACAGGCATCGAACAAAACGCACGTTGAGGAAAAACATCGAAATACATTTCTTACTTCATTGTGTGTTGGCGACAACAAACAACACAGCCTCATTTGCGGGGGGGTCATCCACCGCCAACCCCGCAGTACTCGAACTAAAGCAACCCAAGCTATGGTCGCTGGCGGGATAGGGTAACGACTTCAAATTATCATCCCATAACATTCTAGCTGCCTCTCTGCCTCCGCTCTTTCTCCAAGAAAACGCCGACCGTCCACGGCGGGGTATAAGCCGTTGCGTTCCGATCGCCCGTCGCTCTTATCAAGACTTTCCCTAATTGTCTACATGTATGACGAGGAACGAAAAGAATAACACGAAAACTCCACAATGCTTTTCTCACACACTTGTTGCAGCTCTGTCCATTCATCAACTTTTCAATGAAGAAATACGATGCAGATCCCCCCCGAAGTCGGGCAAAATATTAATCTGCGGACGCGTCATATTGAAGGCTGGAGACGGTGATGACCTGGTTTGCGTCTTCCCGGGACCCATTCGTGTCCGTTCGCGTATCAGCATCCCCTTCAAACGGAACAACAGGCAACCACACAATTTTTTCTGCAACTAACCTGTCTCTGATTGCCCTCCGTCGCCTTAATTTGGTGAATGGCGGCTGTTCATCGCACCGTAGTCCCTCCTGTTGTGAGGTCGGTCTTGAAGCCCCTGTCACCACCGAGAAACGCCTCGTTGTCGTGGAAAGGGGGCGGATGCGAGAAGATCTCCAATTATTTCCTCCGCCGCCGACGAAAAATCCAGAACGGCAACGGCGTGTGCCGCCGCCCCCGCCGCCGCCGCCGCCCGTGCAACACGCGGTTCAAAACGAAAACATCTCCTCCACCACGGGTTCCGCTCGAGCACGCTGCTGAGCACGACACTCGGCGTCACTGTGCGTGGTTGACCTGTGCTTCGAGCACCATTTCCCCGCCTCTGCGCGACAACGGCTGGAATTGCTCCAACCCTCGCCAGTCTCCTCTGCAGTGCCCTGCATTTCGCCTTGATGTCCCCCGGCTCACAACAGCAGTAACCAGATTCCTTTGGAGTATTGGCTGCTTGGCGGCTCCGACGCATGTACGTCCGCTGAATAGTGGCCTCGATCTGCGGAAGGTCGAACTCGGGGTCCTTGGTCACGAACAACGTCCTCACGAAATCGTACTCTTCGGTGAGGTGTTCGATAACGATGAACTCAAGCTCGTCATAAGAATCAACTTCTCCTTGCTCCTTCTGCAGGTCCGTGCGAAGCTGATGCAGTGTGTTCAGGTACTCGTCCGGGTCTTGCCCGACAGACATTTGGGTGTGGTTCAAAGCGTCGCGGATGACCCGTGGAGAGGCGTACTTGGCCTTCAGCTCCCTCCACCCCGTTTGCCCGTTTGGCCCGTTTCCAATGCCGCCCGCGCGATTATTCCCCCCATGGCGTTTCACTAAGCCCTGGGGGATACCCGTCGTTGTCAGGCATAGCACGGCTTGCAGTCTTGAAGACGCACGATCCCATCGCGCCACTGTCATGGCGCCCTCCTTTTTCCCACCATCATCGTCTCCTCCTCCACCAACTGAGTTGGAATTTGTGATGGAACTCTCCGCCGAAGGTCGCTGCGCCCCCCGAAGGACTGCACAGATATCCTCCTCCTTCGACATGGACAGCAATAACTGGATGCCATGGGCCCAGTTGCTGTACTGGATTGCCCAGGTGCTTATTCCCCTAGCTTCGAACTTCGTGGAGTGTTCGATAACGCGCCAAAGGTTTCCTTCGGATGACTCGTCCATGGTTGGCTGCACGATTGGTGTTCTTTTTTTGTTCTTCAAAACCTTCTTCGTTCGGGTGCTGTATTGACAGCATGATGTAGATGCCTACAGTACTGCTGTAGGTACGAGGGGTTTCTCCCACTGCTGTCGTCGGTGGTGGCGTGTCTCTCACTCCCTGGGTCCTTGCTGCTGAAGATGATGGTGATGATGGCTACTCTATGCCGCGTTCGGTCAAATTGCCGGTGGTCCAATATGCCGTCCTCACTTCCGAAACCGTTACGGGTGTTTGTTGGGATCCTCCTGATGATTTTTGACGGTTTCGAGTCTCCAGACCTGAGCCTCCCAAAACCCAGACTACAGATTCTCCCTTGCGTGCCACGCGCTCGGGATCTCTGTGGAGCACGTTGATAGCGGGATAGTCTCGAGGCGACGACGGGCTCTCTGTCCCAGCGAGCTATCTGTCCGACGGACTGTGAGAAGGTAGGGCTCCCTCCTGGTTCTCACGCTTCGGTCCCGCGCGAGTATATGCTGTCGAAGCTCGTCTCTTCTTGGTGATATGTGTACTAACCCGCAAAGAGGAAGTCGACCCACGCTGTGGAACAGATCCCGGTTGAACTTAGCGCTTGCTGTGGGTGCTGTGAGGTGGGAGAGATAGAGAGATGGAAGGTGGAAGAAACTTGTGATGAGTGAGGGGTGAGAGGTGCTGAATCGTCGTTGTCATCGGACACCGTGTCGAGAACATTCTAGAAAACGGGCCGATGATCTAGACGACGCATCTACGGAGATTCAAGCAATGTGCAGTAACGGCCCGTCGGACAATTGCGGATCTACTTGTATGGAGAGGATGGAAAACGAAGCACATATTCCCGCGCGTACCTTGCCAACACAGCTGCCGGCATTAAGACGTGTGTCACACAGCCCTTTAATCATCCGTATAAGCTCGTTCACATCTGGTACACAGTCTCCCTGCGAAAACCGGGGGTGGGCATAGAAATATTACCGTTCCACGAGTAAATAGCGCTAAAGCGGGTAGCCCATTGTTTCGTTTCGCCAAATCTTCAAAATAGAAGGAGCTACAGAAAAGTATAGACACCATTTTCCATCTTGAAAAGGAGCCCTACATACAGCACACACAGTCGTTTGCCATGTATTGAAACGTTTTCCAACTGCTTCCACAGCAGTCGGTGTGGTTGTCTTCGACACATCTACGTATCAGCAGACCCTCTACTGCTGTACGCACACCAAGTCACCAGAATTGCTGTCGACATATTTCGACATGCATTTCAGTCCTACTTGAGAGTTTTTCAGTCAGTTCTCAAGACCTGCAACCTTAACCTTCGTTGCACACATACGAAGCAGGAACCGCATCGAGATCCAGCCATCTATTTATTTCGTTGATGTATTATTGTCTGGGAGCGAGCTCGGCTCTTCCCAAAACAAGGCGTAGAGGCTACCACCGGTCTCACTGGAAAAAGGAGATTTGCAGCGTCTTGGGATGCCACCAAGTCATGAGAATAAGTGAGATCAAAGCAGCACCTCACATCCACCGCCATATCGGAAGGACAGCGCAAGCCAAGTGTGAAGATTTCAAGCTTGTTCGAGCAAAAACAAGCACCTGGTTTCTGTTCACACTCACTATAATAGTGAACTACGTACGTCCGGGGCCTTCAACTGAGAACGTCAATGTCCCGTCCTGGCTCAAAACATTGGTTTGTCACCGCCGTCGAGAATAGACTTGCATCTAAGATGTGCCAGGATCCATCGCTGGAGAAGCGCTTCTTGACAATTCTTCCATGCTTGTGGACTCTTGGGTCTTCTAAAATCAGAATTCTCAATGGCGGGCCCGAAGTTTGCGTGAAAGTGGATGCGGACGGTTCTTTCCGATCGATTCCGCACCGGTCAAACCCATAGACACCTCAAGGAGAAAAAGTGTAGCGCAACATCGACAAATAAACAGGTTGTCGTTGTCAATCACCTTGTTGAAGTGGCACGTGATTGCTTGAGCGAAGAATGTTTAAGCCCATGGCAAGAAGGCCGTTGAAAAACACCCTTTGCGAACGAGCTCCTACTGTACAAGCCTGTGACGTTGCTCTGCACCAACTATAGAAACCTTCAGCAGCAGCAGCACCACCGACGCTGCTGCCGGAGCACCAATCTTTCACTTGAGCGCAACTTTTGCCACTTCGAAGCGGAGTCCTCGTCGCTACGTTTGAAAACCCTAACGGTGATCAAGCTCACAAGGGAAACGATAAACCGCACGCGAACATGTAATTCATCTGTTTGCCGCTGCTTCCCAGCGGTCAACCGCGCCAGCCCCCGCTTGATTTACGTCGTCCACGCCGTTCATGGTCAGGAGAACCCCGTCCGACGCGCGGAACACGGCGAGCGTAGGGATGCCTCCCTTTCGATCGGAGGGAGACATGCCCAAGGCCGTCACCTCTGATCCAGCACACGCCCCGAAACGCCTGTTGTAGTTGAATTTTTGACCGCGGGAAGAACAAAATGATAAAGTGAGGGTGTGATGCGGGCCCGGCATGGCGCACGCCGTTATGCGGAGCGGTTGCTGGGGCGGTGCTGAGAGTTTATGGAGGCGCTTATTGGGCGGATCTGGTCGATGCTCGCCCTGTCTTGCAGAAGTCTTGTGAAAAAAGGACCTACCACTACATGTGATATAGGGGGTACAACACCATTCCACTAAACCCTGAGAGCTCCCTCTCCGGTGTTCTTGTTGCAGGCAAGGTAGACCTTGCCAGCGGCGGTTTCACGATATTATATCTCCATTTTGCGAGGGTGCCGGTGTTCCGGGCGGCAACCCATCCGCAGGAGAAACATGCGATGAATTGTGGGAGCTAGAGGACCAGTCCTACCAGTGTCACCCTATGCAGTCCTTCCTTCTCATGCCTTCATACTGGTCAAACAAAAAAAAAAAACGCGTGTTTAGGCAAGTTTAGGCAACTAACTCGTTTCTCTCGCCTTTTGAGATCAGCCCGGTGTTCGCCGTCGAAGGTCACGGCCGGCCAATCCGCGTGGAGAACTTCGGAAGTTGCGAGGCCCCGGGCGAAAGCAGACACATAATAAGAAGGAAAAGACAGCGCAAGAGTTTCGTCGGGTTGGATGCTGCTGTCGTTACGCGTTCCTTTCAAGTTGGCTGGCTTGCCAAGCTCGGGGAATCCATGCCTTGGTCCCGATGGGCAAAGTTACCGCACGTTAGGCTAGCCCAGCAACATCTGAATCCTTAGGCAACACGCAGGGCGTTGCGCACCAACCGGTTGGCCTAATCTTGTGTCCCACTCTTCTCGTCTGCGCGTTGTTGATCTCGCAGGAAAAAATAACCCCAACCCCACGACTCGCAGCAATGTGATCTCACCCTCCTCCATGTAACGGCGCTGGAGTTCCTCGCTCCTGTCCGAGCTAATGAAGACGATGTCGGCCTGACCTGGCTTGAACCCCTTGAACGCTTCCACTAGCGACGGCACGAACCTCACACAGTCTGCCAAAAGCGTGAGGTCATTGGTGTGGAAGGCGCGGTTAGGGATTCTGTGGCATTGAGGCACTGGGTTGCTACGGAAATGCAAAACGCCTCTTGTGTCCGGTTGTAGAGATACTGGCTGATGTCAAACTCCAGCGGCGGAGAACAGGCTACTGAGGATTGCTGACAGAGGTAAGGAGAGAAAGAGAGGGAAAGGGAGAGAGGGAGGGAGAGGGAATATGGAGGGAAAAAAGAACACCTATGAACACAACGCCACGTCTCTGGGATCGCTTCGCACCTGTACATATTCTGAAGCAAGTTTGTGTCGGGCTCCGAATTCGCTCAGAGGTTGTGATGAGCGGGTGATCGCGTTCAGTATGCGAAAAAGAGTACCGGAAACACGTACACACAGATGCATGATGTTTTCCTTCCTTGTTTTTCTGCATCGTCCGACATGTGTGATACGTCTGTCTGCATATTGTACACTTTTCGACACTTTGGCACGAGCTCAGCACAGACTGCATCGCCGATGTGATTGACTGGCCGCCAGGCGAACATCAACTCATCCCTATCGAACACAAAAGCAATTTTAGTAGGAGGTTCCTGTGCATGTCGTTTTGAGTCAAGGCGAAGATTGTCTTGTAGAGCAAATCCTCTGTGATCAGCTCCGGATCTTGAGAAAGGGCAGCAAGAGGTCGAAGAGAAGGCAGTGTGCTGCCGCCTGGGGTGTATCGCATCCGGCCTCTTCACACTACGTACCCTACCCCTGCCTACATGTATACCAGATTCCTGTGTTGTTTGTCGGAAACTCCGTGTTGAGTGCTGGCGTGCTGCGACGCAGCAGTCCCCAACGTATCGACCGGCAGAGACAAGAACGGAAATGTCACATAGTCTTCCAATGCTGGCGTGTACTGCTGTAGCGCCAGGATCCTCCTCGGTAATCGGTTGCATTTGTACTTGACCCTCGGACACGTTGAAGTATTAGTATCACTCTCCTAGAGAGCCACCTCCAGAGTTGTTATTCTTGGCAAGGTTGCCCCCTCTCACCCACGCTGAGCATATGCATAAATGCGCCACCGCACACAGCGCGTATGAGTAGCGGTTACCCCCAATCTACCCGGATCGGTGAATCGGTACATCGGTCCAAACGTCCAAACCTGGGGGACATCTGCGGAAAAACTTGTTGTGACACTGCTTTAATTGTACAACAGTAGATAACTTCGCGCATGCGGTCGTTCTCTCTCCCGCTCCCTGTGCAATGCAACTGAACTCCACTGCACACTGCAAGTGATTACCACTGCTGACCTGCTGCTGCACCCGTAAAGGGCTTTGTGCCAAGAGCACCATCACGACCCTGCACATTGTCACCTCGGGTCAACTACAGTAGACAACAACAAACCATCCAGGAACCCGACTCACCAGGGCACCACTGGCTGGAGAAAAACAGACAGAGCAGAGGCGCGTTTAGTGACGGTGGCGTAGCAGCGCCCGCCTTGGCCAAGAACAGGGGAACTCCATCCAAGATACTCATCTTCTCGTACGCCTTGCACACAAATGATCGCGGCCCTTGAGTGCCTTGGCCCTGCACAGTGGGGGTGACGCAAACTTGTTGCGGGGGGTGAAGCAAATTTGTTCGTACTGTTCGTGCATGGCTCTAACCAGCTGCCAAACTGTCTGGGCCAGAGCTGGACTGCTTGGACAGCAGGAGCGAGCCTGGGGTGCGATCGTAGTCTGCAAGACCAGTTGGACGGGGCCATCATGTGAGAGGATCCGTTGTACCGTGGGATGCTGTGTGCATTGGTGTGTGGATGTCTGTGAGCTTGCCGTGAGATCAAGCCCAGCGAGTCCGCAGATTCGTGCTTGCCGACTCGCCTCATGATCGCTTGCCGGCAGTGTTGTATCCATCTATCTCCTCCGTCCGACGAGGGGATACCGCGAGAGCTCTTGGGGCATGTATCGTTGAGGGAAAGCCAAGGGCCGTCCCAGCTTCGCCGTCTTGATGCAAGGGGCGAAGACGTTGACGTTCAAGGAACGACAGGAACAGCCATGGAACTGTGTTTCCCCCCGCCCTTTGAAATTCAAACTTACAAATTCGCGCTGCAACAAACCGCGGAAAGAGGTGCCCTCAGCTGGGATCGCAGAAACAGCGTGCTGGATACACCTTAAACCGTCCGGAGCTTTTGGCTGTCACTGTGGCAGGATCCCCGTTGTAGAACCCTCACTGGCAATTGGCTAGTTGGTGGTTGTGTCGTCCCATTGAATCTGGCGGAGGACAACTTACAGCAGACAGCAGTTTTTTGGTGGTGCAGGCATGCTCGCACGCTGCCGCCCCTTGGCGGGCTTTTGATGTTCGCGCAACATCGATGAAAAAAATGGGAGGGGGTGAACAATCGCTTTTACCCTACGTTGATCTCCATCAAGGGGAAAAATAATTGGACACCGCATTAGCCTCTGCCCTCTCTCGCAAGAAAAGCTGTTGTACTACGGAAGATATCACCCCCTTCCCTTGGCCATGTTGAACACCAACCCATGCCAGCTATTGTGTCAACCAATACACCATATCCATAGGAAGCTGGGGTAGGGTAAAAAGTCCCTGCATTTAGTTGACACCCACTCTATTTTCCCACGTTTGTCTCATCTCCGTGGCGACAATGGCAAGTGTAGGCCAGCCAACACCGTGATCCTGATGATTTCTACCTGCAGATCGAGGGTCAATATCAGAGCCATTGGACCCTCGTCGGTTCACGCGCCCGAATGTTGTGTGCCGCTGTTTTGCGAATATGGCGCTTGCTATCGGCAAACACCCACCCGCACAATCCCAGTGTTCCGTATATACCATCTCGTACCAGTACTGGTTAGGTTTCGGGTAGCAGTGCTACACACTTGCGTATCCCCGCGTTTATCAATCCGCTGGCAAACCCGCCTTGTGCTCATCGCAGCCCATCCCCTGGACGTGCTTCCCTGCCTGCCGCATTTGCCCCCTTAAGGTCCGAGCCAGATGTCCCGGGGCCCGAGAGTCTGAGCATCATGGTGGCAACGGATAGCCACCTCGGGCGAGTGTGAAGCGATTGTTGGAAGAACGGCCCGCGCACTTGTTGCGCCAGGCACTTGCACTGCTGCCGTTGTCGGCTTGCTGTGTGTCCGGCGCCTAGCACGCTGACTTCGTTTTTGTTTGCTAGATGCTTCCCCTTTGTCATGACAAGCACTCATGAAGCGAGACGTGTCGTACAGCGCGACCTATGCATATGCATTCGAGTAGTCGTATTCCGGTAAGTTTTTCTGTCTGTTGAGCTTGATATGTTATCTGTACATAGTTGCGCTACTTCCAGTGGTGTTCACGTTGGGTGGGTGCCTTTTTTGGCTTTCACGTCAAAATGGTGTTACCTTTTCGTCTCCCGACTATCCGTTGTTGCGCTTTTTGTCATTCTCGTCTTTTGGGTGCAATAGGTACATGGAGCGAGACCCCGTGCGGGGGAAAGACTCCTTCGCGGCCTTCGAAGAGATGCTTCTCCTTGCAAAGGAAAGAAAGGTGAGGCGCGATTCACGGTGGCCCCAGCAGTGCATCTTTCCCGCGAAGCTTTGCTGTGTTGTCCTGGTGTTAGTTTCATGGCTTGGGTGATTCTCGCCGCAAGTTACATGGCCCAGTGTTGGCGAGAGCAGGGCTCAGCGGTACGGAAATCGCAGGGTAAATGTCTGTACGATCTGATGGCCTTGACGCACAACACATACCCTTGCTGTGCAAAAATGTTGAGGAGCCATGTCTAGAGGACGAAGAACACTATGTAACGCCGGCTGTATAGAAAAGTACGGCTGCCTCACGACAACACTCATTGTTTGTATGGCCGACCCTCTCAGACCCAACAAGTAATCCCATGTGGTAGCGTCCGCCTGTCATTCTTTGCCCAGAGAAGAGGCGCTTCCGGAAGATGAGGTAGTCTTCTTTGTCACTGCACCTCGTGGTTTGTGACGAACGCAAGAGGGTTTGGTGAAGTTCCCGGAGGGTGTGTGAATATATTCGGTGACATCTCTTGATGGTTGCTTCTTCGATTGTCATCGTCGATACCGAGGCCATCGGCCACCACCACCACGACCACCACGACCACCGCCAAAAACAACAACTACGTCTCACCACGAAAAAGGGGGGGACTGTCGCCATAAAAAATAGGACGAAAACACACACACAAACAACACAACAACAACAACCTCAGGTGGACTTCGTGCTGCTAGGAGGGGACCTCTTCCACGAGAACAAGCCCTCGCGGCGCACTCTGTACCAAACCATGGACATCTTGCGGCGGCACTGCATGGGAGATGAGCCCGTGAGCTTCCAGATCATCAGCGAGCAGGCGCACAACTTCAAGGACAGGCGAGGAATAGTGCTTGCCACCACACGTGGAACGCCGCCGCTGTGCGTGTGTCTCGTTATTCTGCATTTTACAAGTTCTGTTTGTTGATATCGCTCGCTTGCTGTTGTTTCCCCTGATGCGGTTTCCGGAATGAATGACCTCGTTTTCTTGTGTGCTTTTCCATATCTCGGCTTTTGTTTTTTTTTGGCTGCCAACAAGAGGGAACAGAGTGCTGCACTCTTCTCGCATTAATAATCGAAGGCAAAGTGCCGCAGGAGAGGTGGGTAGGGGACCTCAGGGAGGGGAACCTTTCTGTGTGACCACGGGTTGGGGTAAACGGCACAAGTGCTGTGAGCGCTGATTTTTAGTGATAAATACAATAAAAAATAGACCGGTGTGTGATGCCCTTGTGCATTTTTGTTGTTGTGATCTCGGATGGAGTCGATGGTTTGTCGAGGCCTCGCTACTGTCGCTCTTGGTTCTGCAGTACTTGCCGTTGAAGCACGCGAGGTTTTTTGAGAAACTCGTCGCGATCATGATTCCATTCTTCCGTGGGGCACTCGTGATACGTGAGAGCTATGGCAACCTCTCATCGTCGGGGTGCGATAAGACGAAGCGGATGTTTTTTTGTTTTTTTTTTGTATTTACGCGTTTTTGTTTTGTTTTTTACCCTGGTTTCGTTGTTTCGTGGAGAACGAGAACGCTTCAAGTATTTTTTTTTTTTTCATGTGTCGTGTGACAGGTTCGGGCACGTGAATTACGAAGACCCCTACTTTTCGGTGGGGCTCCCTATCTTCAGCATCCACGGAAATCACGATGACCCCACCCGTGAGGGGGGAGTGGAGGCCCTCGCGGCCCTCGACCTTCTGCACGTGGCCAACCTCGTCAATTACTTCGGCAAGAGCAACAAGGTCAGCAGAGGCGCTCTTGTCGGTGCTCGTCGTCTGCTGTCGGCGATGGTGTTGACGTGCTGCAGCTGTTGCTGCTGCTTTGTTTTTCTTTCTGTTGTTGCTGCTGTAGCTGCTGTAGCTGCTGTAGCTTCTGTAGCTGATTTAGCTGATTTAGCTGATTTAGCTGTTGCAGCTGCGTGCTGTTGCTGTTGAAGTGTGTTGCCGTGCCCTTGATGGTGTTCCCGTCTGGTTCAAGCTGCTGCTGCTGCTGTCGACGGTGTTGTCATCGTGCACGGTTGCGTAAGGCAAAAAGCTTCTGAAGTCACGGGATTGCCGGCTTCTGCAGCTGCTGTTGTTGCTGACTGGGGCTACAGCTCGGGGAGAATAGGTTGCCCGAGGTTCAGGGTCAGGGGAACGCCTTTAAACAAGAAACTATGCAGAGTATATCTTCCAGATTCTGGTTGCGTGACCCGCCCCCCCCCCCCCCCCCCCCCCATTTTTCGGCCTTTGTAACCCCCTTTTGCCAAAAGGGGGAAAAAGTGGAAGGCAACCCCAACCCCCTCCCAAAAGGGTTGGACCAAATGGCACTCTACCGGAAGGGGAACATGAAGGAACAAAAGGTCCACCCCCTGTGGCAACCAAAAAAAGGTAACGGCCTGTTTTCTCCCCAAGGGGGGGGGGGGGGGGGGGGGGGCGAAGTCC